CAGAAACAGTCTTTGTTCATTGTTCATTCATTCCCTCAACAAATTTTAATGAACACTTATCCTTTGGGGCAGTAGCTTTGCACTTGGCATTCGCCAAGGAAAGTATAAATTAAGGCTGACAGAAAGATGTAACATGAAATGAGAGTGAGAATCAGTTTATTTATTCAGCCAAACTTAAGAGATACTGTGTGCCAGGTATTAGGGAAACGAGTGTTGTAAGGGCAAAAAAGTGATGATCTCTGTCCTCAGTGAATTCTTTGGGCTGCCGTGGGTCTAAGCATCGAGGGGTGGGTGGCCTGGAGTGAGAGCACCAGGTTTGGATTTGGTCTTGACCACTCAAGAAATAAGACCTAAGGGGTGTTTTGGAACATTCTGTAGCTTCAGCTTGCTCATCTGTATATAAAAATAAGAACAGTTCCGAATACTATAATATACTGTGCTAAGCATTGTGTCTGCATTATTTTATTGGTCCACAAAATAACTTTATGAGGTAGGTTCTTTTCTATCTCCACTTAACTGATAAGGAAACTGGAGCTCAGAAAGGAAAAGTGCCACTAGCATCGCAGGGCTGCAGAGGGCTCTCCTGCAGTCCCATAAAACTCAGGATCAACGTCAGGCAGAAGCCTTGGAACCACGTGGCAGGGTGATCTCCAAACGTTTTTCAAACATGTCCCCATCCATATGTTTTTATTTAAAAACATAGATGTGTTCTGCCATCACTCTAAACAGCAAACACTAGTAAGGATTAACTTACCTTGGATAAAATTAAATACACTTATATTAAGTATTAAAATAAATGTAAATAAAATTGCTACCGGCCTAGCCCCATAGGGGACATGGAGAACCTGGAGACCACTTACCCCAATTGTTTTGTATGGTGCAAGACCATGCTCTCCCATAATGACAGTGATACCCACAGAGGCCAAGCACCTTGGCTGAGTTACCCAGGTGGAAGTAGATCAGTCAGGAGGTTTTGCCCCCAGGCACCATTGGCAGTGTCTCGGGACATTTTTGGTTGTCTGGTATGTGCATGCATGTGCATGTGTGTGTGTTTGGTGGGGGGAAGGTGGGGGAGCTGCTGGCCTTTAGTGGATAGAGGCCAAGAATGCTGCTAAACACCCTGCAATGCCCAGGATAGCTGGTACCGATATCTGCAGTGCGGAGGCTGGGAATCCCTGGTCTAGGTCCTAAAACTTGGACTGAAATTAGGTAAGTTTTCAGTCTCTGGGGCCAGGTGACCTGAGTGTACATCTGGGCTCTACACTAGCTAGAGACTGTGGGAGTGTTACTTAACCCCTCGCCTCTAGTTTTTTCAATTGAAAAAGGGATTAATAACAGCCGCCCCTTGTAAGCAATAAGCCTTCTGGCTCTGACTGGGCAGTATAGGGTGCCTGGCCCCCCAGGCCCTGGTACTTTTTCCTGCTGAAGTGGAGGGGGAGGCAAAAAGACAGTAATAATAGTACCCGATGTTCCCAGAACTTGGACCCTGGATTGGCTCAAATTAATGCTGAGCCCTTTTCAGTTCTCTTTTCCTCTTCCTAGTTCTTCTCCTTAGAGTTTGCTTAGGAATTCTGAATCATACAGACAGAATGTGGTCACATCCAGTCCACCTGCCCCTCACAGGTAGGAGGGTGGGCGTGAAGCAGTGAGACTTGGAAGCAACTCAGCTGGGGTCTGCCCCTCGGGGCTGGCACAACAGGAGGGTGGTCTGAGGTCAGGAGTGGGCTCTTGACAAACAGCATGGGGGGAGGAGCCAAGGGAAGCCCTGCCTGCCAGGAGATGTGGGGGGAGCCTTCTCTCTGGTCTTCCCTCCCACTTCACTCTCATACAGCATGGAAACAGCTCATGAAAGACCATGTGTTCCTGCAATGACCACGACTACCACATTCAAGGCATCGGACAGGATTCCACTCGGTGACTCCACTGGGATACGAAGACAGGGATGACTAGCCCTTGTTACCTGGAAGGAAGCGGGAACCCACGGCGGTTTCTCAATTTGTTCAGAGCCACACACCCTGACCCACTGGCTTCAGAGACTCTGTGCCATCCAGCCGGCTCCATCCCTCCTGGCCCGTCCCACTCCTCTCCCCTCCTGCTGGCCAGCCTCTGTGCTGACCCCAGACAGCCCCTGAGCTTTGTCGCCTCTCCGCCCGCACATATTCCTCACCTCACTCTCACCTCTCTAAGCCCTTTCTTTAAGGTTCTGTTCAAAACGCCCCCCCTTCCCTTCCTCTCTTACACAAACACCTCCTGAGTAAGCTTCTGCTCCCCTCCTTGACAAGACCTTTAATGGACACCCCCGCCACCCTGTATTGCCGGAAAGGACAGCATGGCTATTTGGGTTGGCGCTCATGATGTTTGCCACATGCTGTTTGCTGTGCAAAGCATTTTACATGCATTACTTCATTTAATTCTCTTAGGGGGCAGGCACTATAATCATCCCATTTCACAGATCAGGAAACTGAGGCTTAGAAAAGTTAGGTAACTCACGCAAGGTTACGGTGCCAGGAAATGGCAAAATAAGGACCCCAAACCAAGTCCTTCTGAGCTTTCTGCTCCCCAGCCCAGATGCCCCTCACCAGACTGGCCCTGTCTCCCTTCCAAGTCTCTTCTTCCACAGTTCCTCTTGTTATTCATGCCAAGTGATTTGCCATGCATTTTTATTTCTCTGAGCCCTTGCACATGCTATGCTATCTGCCTGGAACACCTCCCCCGCCCCATCCTTTTTTTTTTTTTTTTTTTTTTTTGCCATCAAAAGCCTATCCCTGCATGGACCTCAGCCCAGTGGCTCTTGTTCTGGGATCTCCTCCTCAAGGCCCTGGCTGCTCTTGCCTCAGCTCATTGGAGAGATTTCCTCCCCCCCGCCCCGTTCCTGCAGCACACGGTGTGGTTCTCTGTGTGTGTGCCACAGCATGCTCCAGACTCTGGTGGCCAAGTCTTGCCGGCATCCAGTTGCCTTTGCCACATGTTAACTGGGCACTCATTACATGCCAGGCACTGGGTTGGGCTCTAGGGACATGGGTAAGCCAGGCAGGCGCCTCAGCCTTTGCAGGGCTTTGCAGCCTGGTGGGGTAACAGGACCATGAGGAGGGGCTGAGTCCTGTGGCGGGCACGACAAGGGGCTGGCCCTCAGTGCTCCCAAGAGAAACAGCTCCCCAAGACTTGGGATGTGCAGCAGGGTTTCGTAGAGCAAAAAACAGTAAACCAAAGTGGAGCCAGTGAAACCATGAGGGGATTAAGGGGGGAGGCGATATCCCGGGGGAAGGCGATGTCCCGGGCAAAGGGAACAGCCTGAGCAAAGGCCCAGGAGTACTCAGGCTGCTATACAATTGGAGCAGCTGGAAAATAGAGTGTGCAGGGCCAGTGTCGGAAGATTGCTCTAGAAAAGCAAAATCTGATCCTTTAACCATGAAGGATTACTTGAACCTGGCCTTTTTCTCCCATTTGTCTGTAGCCTTCAGGTGGCTTTCAGTACAGTTTGTCATAGTAGTTAACATCCTGGCCTCGCTGCGGGGGCTTGATGTGAGTGATCTCAGCAAGCTGCTTACCTGATCTGGGCCTTACTCTCACATTTGAAATGGGAATAGTAATAGCTGCCACTTCCTAGGGTATGGAAGAGAATTGCATAAATTAATAAAATGAACACAGTCTCTGGCGCATAGAAAGAACTCAATTGCATGAATATTATAGTGAAAATAATAACATGACATATTATATAACACATTATTGTGTCACTATTATTCTTATCATTCTTTCTGTCATTGGATCTGAATCATCTCTGCCTCTCTCATGGGTGGCACCAAAGTCTCCTGGCACCTGCTCAGGTCTTGGTCCTGGGTAAGGAGCAGGGAAGATGGTCCAAGATCACAAAACAACCCCCTTGCCCTCCACAGCTGTGCACGAGCCAAGGTATGAGATGTCTGTGTCCATGTGGACTATTCTGGCAGATGCACTGGACACAGAGCCCAGATGTTATGTGAACACTCTGGCCTGGCGGGGAATGCTGCCTGTCAGCCAGGCTCCATCTTCTTCTTACATGGCACTCTTTTTCTTGGGGAAGAGTTGACCCTCTTAGGGTTGCTTATTCCCATTCCCCCCGTGGGGTGCCAGGATGCCCACTGTGTTGACAATTCATGTTGAGTGGTCATTCCCACCCAATCAATTTGCTGCCCTCTGCCTGCTCAGAGCCCCAGAGGGCTACCCTCTGAGAACTGCATTATGCAGACTCCCCTGGGCTCTAAATTCTAGCTGGATCAGGCCAAAGAGAAGCTGCAGCAGAAGAGAGGAGAGTGGAGGAGAGAGAAGTCAGGTGTCAACCTTTCTCTCTGCTCAGTCTTTTCTTCTTCCTCTCGCATTGGCTTTGCGAGGATGGCTATAAGCCCCCTCGAGGTGGCTGCTCCTCCTTGGCTCCTGCTCTCCGGCCTCCCAGTGCATGTTCCTTCTCTTCCCCTTGACCCTTAGAAGGATACAGACTTTGGGCTGTCCTGGCCCAGAGCTTCCTTGAGCTCTCTTGCTGGTTTCCTTAACCCTGCCCTCACTACTCTGCAGCTTAGCCCTTTTGCGTGCTCTTTCTTTCTTGCTGTGATGTGGACTCACACTCCCATGGAGTCTCTCCAGAGTCCTCCAAAGAGACCTGTCCTGGCCAAGAGCAGGGCATAATCCTGCTCATCTCTTCCAAGAAGGCAGGCTGAAGATCCATGTGGGCGCTTGCCCTGGAGGGATCGAAGCTGCCTGGCTTCCAGGAGCCCTGCCTGTGGGGCTGCAGAGAAAGCCAGGGCCCTATCTTGGAAGGCCTAAGGGGCCACGGGGGACACCGTGGGGGGGGGGGGTGTTCTTGTAAGAACAATGAGAAGTCATGATGGATTTGGCAGCTGGGGAATGCTGTAATTTGATTTTTAATTGTAGAAAGATCCTTTAATCTTCTGAAGAGTTCTAGAGGATTAAGTACAGACCCAGGGAAGATATTTGGGAGGCTGGTGCAGTAGTTCCCGTGTGACATTATGGCACTGCCACCATTAGAGTCATCTGCCACCTCCACCATGAAGACTCAGCTGTTCACCCCCATGATGAATAAAGTCTTCTTCTTGCTGTATGCACAAAAATTTGCTACTGCAGGTATCAAAATCGGTTTCTGTGACTTTCTTGTCCCCTCCAGGGTGAGGTCCTTGGCCTCAGTGCCCACTCCCTCCTGGTGTCCTAAGCCTGGCACATCACTGAACCAGTTGGTACCCTTTAGTTCAAATGCAAGTACCCTCGAAGGTCTATCCTAGTGTAACATTATCAACTTCAGGTATATCCTAATGTAACATTAATGGAGATGAAATACCAGATCAGCCTGCACCCCCTTGTCCAGCAAAGAAGAAAAGAAAGCAAGCCTTTGCCAAATACCTACTATATGCTGGGTGACTTCCCATGCAACACCTCTTTTAATCCACACAGCAGCCCAGGGAGTAGGCAGTGCTGTCTCATAATGTGGAAACTGAGGCCCAGAGAAGTAGTCTAACTCAGATCAGGCCACCTAGCCTATGAGTGACAGAGCTGGGACACCAACCCAAGTCTGTCTGTCTACTAAGAAGGTGAATGGGAAAACATGCTGTTGGAAAAGCTGGGCCAAGACTGCTGAGGTAGCTGGACCTAGAAAGGTGCATTTTAATAGTAACAAGACAATAAAAATGCAACAACAATTATATCTAACTTTACACACTTCATAGACATCAGCTACCACCCACGACCACAGCAGAGGAGGCATGTTCCTGATCCTCAGTTCCCTCACTATGAGCTGCAGGATTTTGCACAACCACTTCCCAGGTCCTACTCAGGCATCAACATCCTTCCTCTAAGAAGCCAGCCTGGACCTTCCAAGTCTTAGATGGGCACCTCTTATACATGCCTACAGAGTCCCTTGTAATTGCCCCCCCCACATACACATACATATACATGCCTGTACACATATGTATATATAGAAAGTCTGGAGAATTTTGGAGGCGCTTCTAGGAGAGCCTCAGAGCTGTCTCTGTTATGCAGAAGGTTGCCACTGGCATGAGAGTACACTTATTTTTATGGTCCTGACTGAGAAGGGCCAATGCATAAAAGCTCCAGAGAGATCATTTTGAGTGAGCCTAAGGAGGAACTTTCTGCCCATGAGAATTTCTGCAGGACATGCCGGGCCACCCTGAGAAACTGCAAGCACAGGGTGGCCTGGGTGGGGGTAGGCGGTGTGCAGCCACAGAGGAGACAGCCCTTTAGAAGGGGTGGGGCGGGGGTGGGGCTGCTGGCACCCTGATGGGCTTTCGGTTCTGAGACCACAGACTGTTTGGATAACAAAAACCGCCCTTGATTCACTGCCTACAAAGACCTTGGTCCATCACGTTCTTGAACTCACTTAATCTTGACGTTAACCTTGCAAGGTAGGTGTGATGCAGTTCAATGAAGTTAGGTAACTTGCCGAGGAGAAATTGTCAGAGACAGGATTTGAACACAAGCTGTGTCTGACCCTAAGAAGCCAGCTGCCACTGCTTACTCCCAGGATGTAAGATCATACAAGCTTCACCCATGTCACCAGCACAACTTGGTTGGTTTTGGTTTGTTTTCCTGTGCCTCGGTTTCCCCTTCAGTGTCCCTACCTCGTTGATGTTGAAAGTTGGCTGGCAGTATAGGCCATCAGACACAGCCTGCTCTGGGGACATGGAGACACGGTCTGGGTCACAGACTGTTCCCAGATTGTTTGGTCTGAGAGTCCCTTTGTTTTCTTATAGAAGGAATTGGCTGTTTACCAGCGTGTTATGGGACCTGGACATATTTATGGATCCATATGGCCTGGGGAGGTAAGCAGGTGGTTTGAAGCATGGCAGCTACAGCGGAGAAGGGGTTTTAGAAAGGTCTGTGGCTTCAGTTTCAGGTCTGATGAAAAAACAAAAAAACAAAAAAACAAAAAACAAAACTAAACCCAAACCCAGCAGACTCCGTGCCAGGAGTCTGTGAAACACGGTCCAGGCCAAAGCCGGTGTCGGCCAAGAGGGAAATTACAGGCTTTAAATGGGAGGCAAGCCTGCAGAATCCTCCTAGGGTTGTTTTTGACATGTGTTTGTTTGCATACATGTGTGTTTATGTGGATGTGTTTTTCAAAGTGTGTGTCTCCTTTTGCCTTTTGCATTTGGTCCTAAGACCCGCTTAATAAACAATGTAGGAACTCTCCTCTGATATAATTTTTCCCTGGAAGATATTTGGGGAAATTCCATTTAGTTTAGTTAAAATCCGCCAGCATTTACTAGCAGCCTATTTCTGTGCAAGGTGCTGGGGGTCCAGGGATGGAGAAGGAGGTGCCCTATGTTGCAGTAGCTCAGGGTAGCCCACCTGGAAAAGACACAGGCACAGAGAAGGATCCTGGAGTTCCTTGAGGGCTATGATCACTTCAGTGGGCTATAGATAGGACTGAAAGGGGAGGAGATCTTTGTTCTTGGAGGAGAAGGGGTCAGGAAGGGTCTTCAGAGGCCGACAAAGGCAAAGGCAGAGGCAGGCAGAAGGCAGAGGCAGAGGAAGAGGGGGGCAGTTCCAGGCAAAGGGATGAGACCTGGGAGGAACTCCTCTGAAGGTCAGAGATACATGACTTGCCCAAGGCAATACAGCTAGCAAGCAGCAGCCTGAGGATTGGACCCAGATCTCTGATTCCTCTCCAAACAAGAACACAAATCTGTCCGCTGAAGCTCTGTGATTTGGCTAGAGGACTGTGTCCTGAATCTTTAAATCCTCCCCATCTCCTAAGAACTATCTGAGTCTTACATGCCCTGGAAAGTGTCCTTTCAGACACACTGCTGAGTTCCAGGAAAAGATATGCATCGACATTGCTAGGTGTCCTTTAACAGAGTTATGCTTTCCTCCTCAATAACAGAAACACATGTATGCATTTATTTATTTATGTATTTCTTTACTTATTATAAAATACGGATTTGTGATTTCTGTGTCATGACTGTGCCCGGCAAAGGAGGGATAGAAGGAGCAATGGAACTGTTCTGAAGGCAGAGATGATTTTTAAACTCCTTTTTACTTCCCATCACACATAGTAGGTACTGAAGAAATTTTTGCAGAGCTGAGCTGACTTGGTGACACTCTTTTGTGGAGGTGTATCAGTCAGCTATTGCCACAATTATGCTAGGTAACAAATCACCCATACTCAGTTGCTTACAAGTATGAGCATTTTTTTTCCCCTCATTCATGTGTCTAAGGGTTGGCTGTTCAGCTCAGGTGAAGACTACAGCTTTGGTGGGGCTTTGAGCCATGTTGGGGTTTGTTCTATATATCTCATTGTGGGGGCCAGGTTGAGAAGTAGCCTCTGGTTATTTTTCTCACTGTAAATGAGCAAGTGAGCAGACAAGAACATGATGGAACAGATGATGCCTCTTGAGATCTCAGCCCAGAACTTCCATGTTGTATTTCTACCCACTTTCCTTTGCCCATGATAAGTCAAAGTGCAAACCTGTTATCACTGGGCAGGGAAATATATTTGCCCACTCTCATGGGAGGCCCTATATAGTCAAATGGCAGAAGGTATAATTCTAACACGAGAAAAGCGTGAAGAATGGAGATAGGTGCAGGGCTTTGGAGCTAGGCTTGATTTCAGATTTGAGTTATCTTTTACCTGCTTTCTTAACCCTTCTGGATATGTTTCCTCCTCATTTCCTGAGGGCTTCCAGTGTGCCTTTCACCAAGCTTAGCATTTTATGAACTTTTCTGTATGTAAGATAGGTAAGGTAAGTATTCAGATCCCAGGTAATAAATGAGGAAACTGAGATTGAGGGAGAGAAGTGACTTGCCTAAAGTCACATTCAAAGTCACAAAGTCACAAAGGCTGCATTTAGTTTCATGCCAGGTCCATCTGTGCCACATCTGTATTTGAAAGGAGGTGTGTGTGTGTGCTGTCTGCCACACGGAGGATGCTTATTTTAGGTGAATTTCTATTTCCTTTCCCCTTAAAGGGTCCTGGAATCCTTTAGATCTCTGGACTTTTACTTTCTGATGAATTTCACCCAAGGATTGACCAGCTGATGTGACTGCCACCACTCAGGCTTCAAAGTTCATTGTTGCTTGAAAAAAACAAAGTATGGGCTATTATTAGCAGTGATCTGAAGATAGTCACACTTCCCAGTCACAAGTCTTCAGGAAGAAGGACGCTTGGAGGGTGTTGGTGGTGCAACATGTTTGGTGAGAAGGCACACATGTATTTCATAATCGCCATGCTTGTCAGGTGATGCAGAGGCCTCTGCTCCCAGAGATCTTTCCACTCTGAGCCCAGCTGCTCTGACATCGCTGGGGAGGGACAGCTGGCAGCCTGTTTTTGCAAGACTTGTTTCACGAGGCATGGGAGATACTAGCAACAGCAAACCTTCAGATCAGACAGACGTGATCTGAATCAAGGCTGTACCTCTGGCTGGGTGGCCTGGTCCCCAAGGATGCTGTTCCCTCTGCCTGCAGCACCCCTCCTTCTCAGGGCCAGCTCTCTGCCTCAATGTCACTTGATCCAGGAGTTCTTCCCCAACCCTCCCCAGGCCTGTGCTCCCTTAACTCCCTGGACACCCCAGGCGCTGCATTTAGGCTTTCCTAATTGTTTGCTTAATTGACTCTGCCACTAGGATAAAGGCTCTGCGAGAGCAGGCCACGACCTATGTCTCCTTTGAAATCCTACTTTCCCAAATGCTGCCTACTACCTAGCAGGCACTCCATGGACATTTGTCTAGTGAATTCAGCAATAAGTTACCAAAAACAGGCTAGTGCTTTGTGACCTTTCTGTGGTGGGGAAGAGGCAGAGTGGGGATATTGCCTTTGTACCAGGCTGACTCTCCCAAGGATGCTAGCCTTCTAACTGACAACAAAACCTCTGCCTTATTCCACATTCTATCCTTAAATTCTCTCCATGCAGGACCAACTGCATTCTCTGAAACAGGTTAATTGGCCCTTCTCCATCCTTCTGCCCTCACCCCCTACTATGTATGCCCGTGGCTCCCTCTGTTCTAACTGCACTGGCCTGCTTTCGACCCCTTACGTACAAGCTAGTATCCACTCTACGATCTTTGCACTTCCTTCTGCCTACAGCATATCTCCTTATATCTTCTCATATTTCT